CACAAGAGGGCTCTGGAAACAAACCTCAGCCGATATTGAGGGCCCGCTCTCTACAAGAGGTATGTTAGGATTTAAGTATCTGGGGAGCCTTATTAAGAACTCAGTAGCATTAACACACCCTTCTGTTATGGTACATGCACAGCTGACATAGAGATCTTTTCTTCATTTAACATATGCTATATTTATAGATCTTATGTTCAGTGTTACAGTGATTTGTACTGATGAGTTCAATGTGATTTATATGTTTAACTGTAAATTTATACTTGAGGGTTAACCATAATTTAACTCAGAGTTGGTTACTAATGTTGGTACATCTTGAATTCAACCAAAATAAGCATTATGTGGGAGAATAATAATTTAAAAAATGCTAGATCCGACTCTGAACTATCTTGACAGTGATTGGTGTGGTGTCATCAATTTTTTAGAGGGATTCTAAGAAATCTCTCTTTTTTGACAGAAATGAAACATTTCATATATGACATTTAAGTAAAGTGAAAATAGTACATGTAGAGACCAGAGACCCTGTGAACAAGCAGGAGGAGAAGTGAATGCTGTAGGCCACTGCTTCTTAAATTGGGTCCCAGCCCCAAATGTGGTCCCCTCAGCAAAATGTTGGGGTCACGGAAAATTTGAAAACAGTAAAAAATTTCTGAATACCATCTGTTACATAAATCTGTCAGTAACAATGTGCCATGTTTACTGTGGACTCTGCTGAAAATGCTTCGGCTGTACTCCACAAAAAGAAAAACCAGCCTGTTTAGCAAACTTTTAAAATGCCAATTTGCTATCAGTAAATGTTTTTTTTAAATACCTATTTTTATACCCATGTACTTAAAGGTAAAGATAAAGGTTTCCCCTGACATTACGTCTAGCCATGTCCAACTCTGGGGGGTGTTGCTCATCTCCATTTCTAAGCCAAAGACCCGGCATTGTCCATAGACACCTCCAAGGTCATGTGGCCGGCATGACTGCATGGAGTGCCGTTACCTTCCCCCAGAAGCGGTTCCTATTGATCTACTCACATTTGCATGTTTTCGAACTGCTAGGTTGGCAGAAGCTGGGGCTAACAGCAGGAGCTCACCCCACTCCCCGGATTCGAACCACCAACCTTTTGGTCAGCAAGTTCAGCAGCTCAGTGATTTAACCTGCTGCACAACCGGGGGCCCACCCATGTACTTGGAGTCAAGTAAAAATTCCTTACGTGCAAAAGGATTACAAGTGGAAAAAGTCTAAGAAGCCCAGCCTTAGAACATTTTTGACTTACAAAAAGCAGACATCTCATGATGGACAGCTTGATTGAAAAAGTGGAACAATTTATGAAGAAGCTGAGCAAGATAGGATGCTGGAAAATAAAATGGAAGTGTAATTATGTGATGCAGGTCTTGCTATAATTTGGGTTGTTGTAGGTTTTTTCAGGATATATGGCCATGGTCTAGAGGCATTTTCTCCTGACGTTTCGCCTGCATCTATGGCAAGCGTCCTCAGAGGTAGTGAGGTCTGTTGGAACTAGGAAAAAGGGTTTATATATCTGTGGAATGACCAGGGTGAGACAAAGGACTCTTGTCTGCTGGAGCTAGGTGTGAATGTTTCAACTGACCACCTTGATTAGTATATAATGGCCTGACATTGCCTAGAGCAAACTTTTGTTGAGAGATGATTAGATGTCCTTGTTTGTTTCCTCTCTGTTGTTGTGCTGTTGTAATTTTAGAGTTTTTTAATACTGGTAGCCAGATTTTGTTCATTTTCATGGTTTCCCCTTTCTGTTGAAATTGTCCACATGCTTGTGGATTTCAATGGCTTCTCTGTGTAGTCTGACATGGTGGTTGTGAGAGTGGTCCAGCATTTCTGTGTTCTCAAATAATATGCTGTGTCCAGGTTGGTTCATCAGGTGCTCTGCTATGGCTGATTTCTCTGGTTGAAGTAGTCTGCAGTGCCTTTCATGTTCCTTGATTCGTGTTTGGGTGCTGCGTTTGGTGTTGTTAGTAACTATAAGTTGTTAGTAACTCCTCTTGTTTTATTCTTCAGACAATAAGTGGTAAACTAGGGATCCCTGTCTGTTACTTATGAGTCGTAGTGTTTACTATTCCATCATTCCTTTTGGCATAGGATTGATTAAGCAAACCACATAGCTATGATAGTTTATTGAGTTATCCGAATAGGGTTACCATGTCTTCTCTGGTTTGTTTTTCCAGCTTGCTGGGAAAGAAATAAACCAGTGAAGAGCAGGCACCTGCATTTGGATGACGCAGTAAACAAACCATGGCACAAAGCCCCTTGATTTGTTTAGACGCTCCTAATGCAGCTCATGCATGAGAAGCATTCAGGCTAAATCAGTATCTTAGGTCTGATAAGCACCCAGGAGGCATTGTTGTCAAATTAATATAATAAGGGGCTAAAAACCCAATTTCGAGAACCTATAAGGGAGGGGGAGCACTCTGAATTTAGAATGCAGAATTCATTAGAGCAAATGCGATCAGTCCTTTGCTTTGAAACTTTTGAAAACTCATTCTTCTTAACCTTATTATTCCTTAGCTTTGCTGGAAGCATATTTGCTGTCGGTAGTGCTCTCTCTTTAAACAAATCATTTTTTTTTTACAGGAAAACATGTGCATTGATATACCCAGGGAGGGGAAATTGTATTTGTGGAAGAGCTTGGGGATGTTGACATTACAAACAAGCCAGATGGTGGTGGTCATGTGTCATCTTAGTCTGAATCATATAATTATCACGAGGGAAGAGGTTTTACTTGTGAAATGTAGGATGACAAGTAGGGTTTCCACCCCTCTGATTTTAAAGATATCATTTTTATTTTTGGATATACTTAGAATATTTGCATATGTGTTCTGGATTGATGTGTCTTGTGGAGGTAGGTGGGAAATGAATAGGAGTGTAAGGGTGAAACTTCAATCTTGGCATGATTTGAAATAAACTGTCTCTAGGGAAGTTGCTTTTACTATTCTGAAATTAGGCAGCAAAATCAATGTATCAACACACATAGACTTCAACAGTATCAATCATCCTGGTATAAATTAATCAGCACTGCATGAAGAACTTTCTTCTTTTGTGTTCTGAATCTCTTGTCAATCAACCTCTTTGTCTGTCACAGAGGGGGGAAATTATCTGTTCTCTTCTGCTATTCTGTAACCGTTACATTTTCCTCCCAAATTAAATTCCTAGGGAGATGTTCCAAACCCTTCCTAATTTTAGTTGCCTTTTAAAAACCCGTTTCAGTTGTATGCTTTTTGTATTTTTTAGATGAGATCGGAGCTGGAGACAGTATAATATTTGTGGCAATAAGAGATTTTTCCCCTTTTTTTCATGGTTGGGAGAGTAACAAAAGCTAGCAGTACAAGAACAAAAGTTTAGAGTAGTCAATGCAGAAAATATATTTGAAATTTATTTTGTTTTCTCAGTAGGCAAGTATGATGGAAACTTCTAAAGGATGGTACAGTATAAGTATTCAGAAGCCATATATAGTTTTGGATTGGCCTCATTTTTGCTTTTTTCCCTCATCCAACCAAAGCGTATTATGTTTTCTTTTGTTTGTTTCAAATGAGTTTTCCTTTTGAAGAACATAGGAAATGTCACTGTTTTGCCAGCTTAATCTGGATGCCTGCTAGCCCTTACATGGTGGTGGCAATTGTCAGATTTGTACAGAACACAGAGTCCACAATTAAACTGGATGAGTCCTTTGGAGTGATCTTTGCAGGTGTTTATACTGTCCCTAAAAGTGTTGACATTTTACTTTTGAATGCGAACAGGCCTATTTCAAGGTTTTGTATTAAGAATTCTGTAACACTGAGCAGCAACATCTGGTTTCATCTTGGAGGTGTAGCTTATCTGTTTTATGTATTCCCAGATGTGCTTTAGGCAGAATATAGTTAAGACACATGAAAAGGTTCTCTCAGCATTATGCAAATAGATAGTCAAATCACAGTTTTTATGATCATAGATTTTTTTAAAAAAAATTAAAGCACCAGCGCTAAACTAAACTCCCAGTTTAAACTTAATACTGTTACTGATTGTTTCAATATATCTTTTGATAGATAAAGTTTTTTGTGTGTGTCAGGAGTGACTTGAGAAACTGCAAGTCACTTCCACTGTGAGAGAATTGGGTATCAGCAAGGACATTGCCCAGGGCATGGCCAGATGTTTTACCATCCTGTGGGAGGCTTCTCCCATGTCCCCACATGAGAAACTGGAGCTGACAGACAGGAGCTCACCCCGCTCCCTGGATTCGAACCACCGACTTTTTAGTCGGTAGTCCTGCCGGCACAAGGATTAAACCATTGCACCATTGTGGGCTCCTGATAGATAGATAGATAGATAGATAGATAGATAGATAGATAGATAGATAGATAGATAGATAGACAGATAGACAGACAGACAGATAGACAGACAGACAGATAGACAGATAGACAGATAGAGAGAATCATAGAATCAAAGAGTTGGAAGAGACCTCATGGGCCATCCAGTCCAACCCCCTGCCAAGAAGCAGGAATATTGCATTGAAATCACCCCTGACAGATGGCCATCCAGTCTCTGTTTAAAAGCTTCCAAAGAAGGAGCTTCTACCACACTCCGGGGCAGAGAGTTCCACTGCTGAACAGCTTTCACTGTCAGGAAGTTCTTCCTAATGTTCAGGTGGAATCTCCTCTCTTGTAGTTTGAAGCCATTGTTCCGCATCCTAATCTCCAGGGAAGCAGAAAACAAGCTTGCTCCCTTCTCCCTATGACTTTCTCTCACATATTTATACATGGCTATCATATCTCCTCTCAGCCTTCTCTTCTTTTGGCTAAACATGCCCAGCTCCTTAAGACGCTCCTCATAGGGCTTGTTCTCCAGACCTTTGAACATTTTAGTCACCCTCCTCTGGACACATTCCAGCTTGTCAATATCTCTCTTGAATTACTTTATCTCTTGAGAGATAAAGTAAGCTGAGCCATGATGACTGTTACTGGTCAAATAATTCTTAATTTGTATGTTTTGTTTTATGCAAGGCTGGGCCCCATAGATGTTGATCCAGGTTCATTTACAACCCAAGAATTGAAAAAGGCACTGGCGAAAATGAAAAAAAGCACAAAGACAGAAGATCCCTCAAAAGAAAAGGTATTATTAAACCAGAAAAATGTCAGTGACAAGGCTGTTGAAAACTCAAAGTGAGATGTTTAAATCAAAGTGTGTAAAATAATATAAGAGAAGCCTGCCATGTGAATTAAATGGGAACTGTGAACGGAGCTGCTTTGAAAGTTCAAAGTCTGAGAATCTGCTACAGACATTGAGTTTGCAATTGATTTTTTAAAATGTTTGGCCTTAAATGGGAAAAAAACCAAATCCATTTGCTTTGTCAGACTCCCGAAAATCCGAGTTTGGGTTTCCGTTCTCCCCATCACATACACCTGCTCCTTTTTTTTTTAAAAAGCAAGACTAGTTGTTAAATCCAAGCAACCGTTTCTTATTTCCTTCTCATTCATGTTTTGGAAAAGAGAAAGGAGCAGCCTTGAAATGAAAGCCAGGAGTCTGCTGAAACAAATGGATTTTGTGTTAGAGGCTTATGTTTTCCTTTCCTGGGTAGACAGCATAGTCTGACAAATCTTGTATGAAATTTTATCTGGAACCTCAATATTCACAGTATAATTTAAGACTCTGCATTTTCAGAGCAATTCTTATCTCAGCTTGTAAACCTTCGATGGCCAATAAAGCAGATGTTCTCTGGAAATATTATGGTTGACACACTTTTTCCTTTGAATTATCCTGATGGTTCAAGCAATTTACTCTGATCTGCTTGAAAACTATTCCTAAGCGATGAGACACTTCCATTATATATAAGCAGCAAGTCCTGAGTCTCCTGTCATGTTCTCCCCCTTCCTTGCCAGCCGCCTTTCAAAGACATTTTCAATTCAGTCTGTGACTGCCAATTAAGAAAGGATCCTTCTGGAAAGCATTTAATCATCTTTCAGTACTATGGGACCTATTTGGGACACTGGTTTAGGGTGATGGATAGGATTGTACGTTTACAGTAAGCCTCTTGACCACATTAAAAAAAATAACAGAAACTTCAGAGAATTTCCAAAGCTGATTGGAATGCAGTTCCTTCCCCTTTGCTCATCCTCTCATTAATTTAGTGCTCAATTATTTATTGATTGACTAAGGTAAAAGATGGTGATGTCAAGCGCTGAAATGTGCCATTGAACACTGAACTGGAAAAGTCTCTTCCTCTCTGTGTGTAGAGGCAGAGTCCCTACTGATTTTGGAGGGACAGGTATCTTGTTGGATTTAATTTCCAGTATCTATCTGAAAAAAAGTGAGAGAGAAAGAAATTACATCTAATTTTCTGCTTTGATGTCTCTCTGATAACATAATCTGTTAAGTACCGTATATACTCGAGTATAAGCCGACCCGAATATAAGCCGAGTCACCTAATTTTACCACAAAAAACTGAGAAACCAGATTGACTCGAGTATAAGCCGAGGGTGGGAAATGCAGCTGCTACGGGTAAATTGCAAAATAAAAATAAATACCAATTAAATTACATTAATGGAGGAATCAGTAGGTTATATATTCTTTAATATTTACAAAAAATTGTAATTTAAGATAAGACTGTCCAACTCTGATTAAATGATTATTTACCTTCTTCAATGTAAATGTGCCTATGTATCCTTCCAATAATAATAGAGTAACATAATAAATGTAATAACGACAATAATAAAAAAAGTAAAATAATGAATGTAGCAACAACAACAATTATACAGTAACATAATAAATGTATAATAATAGAGTAAAATGATAAATGTAATAAAAAATGGAATAAAATAATAAATGAAATGAAAATAATAATAATAATAATAATAATAATAATAATAATAATAATAATAATAATAACAGAGTAAAATAATAAATAACCTTGACTCGAATATAAGCCAAGGGGGACTTTTTCAGCCTAAAAAAGGGCTGAAAAACTAGGCTTATACTTGAGTATATCCAGTAGTTTTAATTTCTAACTACCTTACAGAGCTGTAAATAGAACCTTTAAGAAAATATTATTGGTAAACAACAAAAAGCAGTGATTGGTGCCTGTAAATCAAGCTTCTGCTTTGTTTTGAATTACATTTTGGCAAGTGCTTGACTTTGAACTTGGGAAAGCCACTTCACCCTCCTTCGCCTGATAATGCATTATATCCCACCTCTTGTGCAATCTAAGTACTTGACTGGGTTATTTCCCGCAAACATTATCAGAGGTAAAGAGGGGGCTTACACAACACCATAGCTCCACTTCTGTGCTCCGAAGCTGGAAATGCCAGTCTACTGATTTTGGATGGCAGTGGTACGTAACATCCCTCCTTCTCTGACTGTACCACCCACGTGAAAGGTTTTTAATGCAGAAGAAAGAGATGAGATGTATATTATACGAGTTCCCACCTTGGGCTAAAACAGGCACGGTGTGGGAGAGGCGTGATTTTTAAAAAGTCTTAAAAGCAAATTGAGTGCAGGATAGATATGAATTGGATTTGAACAAATGGCTCTGGGGAATGGGTATTTAATCCCCATTGTCCTCAGTGGGGTAAATTGCAGCTTTGGTAGAGAAGAGGGAATACACTTCCATGGAGTATGGCAGAATCTCCTTCTCTGAAGGTTTTTAAATAGAGGTTGGGCAGCCATCTGTAAGGAGTGCTTTGACTGTATTTTCTTGCATGGCAGGAGGTTGGACGGGATAACCCTTGGGCCTCTTCCAACTACATAATTGAATGAGGGAAAGATGATGGAAATGTGAAGAAGATGGAAGAAATTAATGTATTTCCAGTACAATTTGTCCATAGAATCATAGAGTTGGGGGGACTCGATAAGCCAGGGGTGTCAAACTCATTTTCATTGAGGGCCAGATCAACTTTTTGGTTGCCTTCAAAGGGCCATTTAATTTATGGACAGAGAATCCGTGGGTACAGAGGGACAACTATACATTTTTACATAGTGGTCAGTGCTTTTTAGATTTTATGCAACTTGGGTCCCTAGATGTTATTGAATGACAACTCTCATAGCTTTTGCAGAATGGGGATAATTCATTTCTTTACCCTATTTATATCCCACCCTTCTCACTCTGTGGGGACTCAGGGTGGCTTACATGTGGCAACAATGCAATGCCATATAAAACAGACAATAAATTAAAATACACATTTACATTAAAACTAAAAAAAAAACGAAACATCTTAAAAGTAACGTTAAAACCACACTGTCCAAAAACATAATTTGGAGCCATTTCAATTGTCAATTTCACATAATCCATATCTATTTCTTGCACTGCATTGCTTTACTGACAAAAGGCTTGGTCCCACATCCATATCTTTACTTTCTTTCTGAAGGCCAGGAGGGAGGGCGCTGATCTGGTATCACTAGGGAAGGAATTCCACAGGGAAGGGGCCACCACTGAGAAGGCCCTGTCTCTCGTACCCACCAACTGCACCTGCGAAGGAGGTGAGACCGAGAGCAGGGCCTCCCTGGAACACCTCCAAGATGATTCATAGAGGGAGATGCATTTGGATAGGTAAGCTGGGCCGGAAACGTTTAGGGCTTTATAGGCTAAAACCATCACTTTGAATTTTGCTTTGTAGCAGTCTGGCAGCCAGTGGAGCTGATGTAACAGAGGGGTTGTGTGCTCCCTGTATGCTGCTCCAGTAGGAAATCTTACTTTAAATTTCTGAACGGTCTTCAAAGGCAACCCTGCCTAGAGGGCATTGCAGTAGTCTGTTCGGGATGTTTGAGCGTGGACTACTGTAGCCAAGTCTGACTTCCCAAGTGCTTTTAGGTTGCAATAATAGGAATTGCAACCCAAAAGCATTTGACTCTGAGGTTGAGGAAAGGTTAAAAAACATTTTAAAGTCATATTCACAAGCTAAATTCAAGCCCCACTATCCTGACTAAACAGAACAAGCTACAGCTTTCCAGAACTTGCTCTCTTATTTATTTATTATTTATTTACTTTATTTATACCCTGCCTTTCTCACGAGGGGACTCAAGGCGGCAAACAATCTCATCTGTATTGTCGAAGGCTTTCATGGACGGAATCACTGAGTTGTTGTAGGTTTCTTCGGGCTATATGGCCATGTTCTAGAGGCATTCTCTCCTGACGTTTCGCCTGCATCTATGGCAAGCATCCTCTGAGGATACTTGCCATAGATGCAGGCAAAACTTCAGGAGAGAATGCCTCTAGAACATGGCCATATAGCCCGAAAAAACCTACAACAACCCAAACAATCTCATACTTTAGTCATAGTTAAAAAAGCACAATACATTTTTTTAAAAACACAGTTAAATAATACAGTGTGGATTAAAGCAAAAACAGATTAAAATATAATAAATACACTTAGAATAGCCTTTAGGAATCACAATCCTCCCTTCCTCCCAGAATCCCACCCACACTACTATACCTCAACTCCCATCAGTTCTAGTCATTATGTCTATAGGAGTTGTAGTCTAGCATCTGGAGGGCCACCTAAAATGACGTGGCAAGCCAGATTCAGCCCGTGGACCCTCACACATGTGCAGTATATTGGCCACCCAACCTCAAAGCAGTGCTCAGTGCGAAAACCTCTACCAGAACCTCCCATTTCTTTTTGAAGATGTTCAGAGAAGTAGACCCAATCACATCTCTAGGCAGTGCGTCGCATTGCTGAATCGCTATGAATGTCAAGAAGTTTCTTCTAATGTTCAATCAAAATCCAAACTCCTGTAACTTAAAGCTATTAGAACTGGTTCTGTCCTCTGGGAGCAGATGACAAACCTCTCCTTCCTGTGACAGCCCTTGAGACATTGAAAGAGTGCAATCCTTTCACGCCTCAGTCTTCTCTTCACCAGACTGAACATGTCCCAGTCGCTCAACCTTTTGTCATATGTTTTCTTCTCCATACCTATTTTCATGCTGGCTGCCCTTCTCTGAACTGGGTTTAACTTCTTAAAATATGGGGCTCAGAGCTGAATGCAGTTCCTTTCCAATTGTACTTCACAAAAAAAAAGAAAAAAAGAAAAACAAACAAACAAAAAACTCAGAAGAATCAATTATGCCTCCCCATTTTTCAGCTAAAGGAAAAGCCTGTCTGTCTAATTGGTATACATAAGATTATATATTATTGTTTGTTTTTCCTTTCCTTCATAGGGGTTATTTGTATACACCTAAACACACCTACTGCTTTGGCAGGTTTTGAGGAAACAAAATAATTAATCACAGCAATGTTTATCTTTGACGTGTGCTATTTTGGTGTGTTTCCCCCGCTTTTTCCCCAGGCTCATCAAGACGATGTCAGGCGAAGGTTTCGTGCCATTGAGACGCTCAAGGAAGAGTTCAGGGAGCTCAGGCTGCAGCTAGAAACAGACGCTGAAATTATGTTTAAATTAATCAACAAATTCAACAGTTCTACTTCAACCCTGGAGGAGAAAATAAGAGCACTTTACGATCTTGAATATTACGTTCATCAGGTAAGAACAGTCTAAAAGGTATTAGCAGCAGCTTGTGTGATACCCAGGGAACGTGGGAAGCATTAAAATAGGTTTCTTGCAGTACCAGATGTTGAGAAATTGGGCTACTCGACTTCTTTTTCACATGACATTTTACCTGTGCAGATGCACACTTTTGGAAGTTGTGTATGCATTTGGGCAAATGCATTGTAAACATTTAGCAGCTGCCTTTTCTAAGTCCTTCCAAGCACACATTCAAGGAATTGTCTAAAGATTATAACAACTGTTCATTAGATCTTTCTTGGAACCTGATGAAAGTATTTTCAGTGCTGCAGTTCATAGCCTGAAAGACTTGGACAAAGTACCTTGTAAACATTTACTGTGTCCTTTGCCAGGGCTCACCTCTGCGTACCCGTAACAAAAGGAGAGGCTTTTCAGCTATGAGATACCGCTTTTGAGCTTTGAGCTTTGACAAATGCCACTTTATAAACTGAACGATAGAGTCTTTGTTCACCCATCTGTTCCCATGCTGGAGGATCTAGGATTAAAAATCTAAGCACATTGAGCTAAAAAGAAATCTACAGTGAAACCAATTGGTCTTAAATTACATGTGTCAGATTCAAGGTTCCATGGGCCGAATCCAGCCCTCCGTGTCATTTTTTGTGGCCTTCCAGATTCCAGGCTTCAACTCCTGTATCCCTCATCGTTAGATGTTATGACGAGAGCTGATGGTGGTTGTGATACAGTAACACCTGGAAAGCTGCAGTTGTTCTGTTTAGTCAGGAGAGTGGGATTTGGATTTAAATGCAAAACTTATAGATATAATATTGTTTAACCTTTCTCCAATCTCAGAGCCACAAATACTGTTGGATTGCAATTCCTATTATCCCGTCCACATGGTAGTTATTAAAAAGCAATGGGAGTTGTCATTCAGTGACATCTGCGGAGCCAAACTGAATAAAAGCTAAAGAGCACTGACCAGTATGTCAAAAACTGTGTAGTGAGTCAGACTCATTTTGCCTTAATAAAATTTTTGGTTCTTCATTAAGTCAACCATAGGGAAATTTCAAGGGGACCTCAAATATGTTTAATAATGCTGCAAATATTCCTTTTTAAATTTTTAAATTTTTATTTGCATCTTATTTATTTAGGGGCAGTCGATAAGTAAAGAGGGAGAACAATTCAGTATAAAGAATATTAGGAAACAATAGTGAAAAGAGAGAGAGAGAGAAAAGAGAACTAATAGAAAAAAATAAAAAATAGTAATAATGCTGCAAATATTCCTTTCCATACATTTTTACTTTGAAACCTTTCTGATTTTTAGTTAGGTATTATAAGTCCTGGAGCCCCCAATGGCACAGTGGGTTAAACCACTGAGCTGCTGAACTTGCTTACCGAAAGGTCAGAGGTTCGAATACGGGGAGCGGGGTGAGCTCCTGCTGTTAGGCCCAGCTTCTGCCAACCTAGCATTTTGAAAATGTGGAAGTGTGAGTAGATCAATAGATTCCACTCCGGCGAGAAGATATCAGTGCTCCATGCAATCATGCTGACCACATGACCTAGGAGTCGTCTACAGACAACACTGGTTCTTTGGCTTAGAAATGGAGATGAGAACCACCCCCCAGAGTCAGACATGACTAGACTTAATGTCAAAGGGAAACCTTTACCTTGTATTAAAAGTCCATAGGTACTGTTTCTTTTAAAATATTTTCATTATAATATATATAATGTATATATATCAGGTATGGGCCAGGCCAGTGGCAGATGGATCAGAGTGTTTGTGTGAAAAAACAGGAAGGAAAGAAAAATACAATATTTAAAATTAAGAACAATTTTACATAAACTTAACAGTATTTCAGTGGAAGACCCCCAGTGCCATCTAGCAGGAAAAAGAGTCTGGGCATTGAGGGAGGCCTGGGGGAAAGGGTCCTGGTGGCAAGGAAAATAATCTGGGCAGCGAGGGAGGAGGGGGAGAAAGGGTCTGTGCCACAGGAGGATGCTGCTTCTGCTGCTGTTTCCAGCAGCAGAAAGCTTTAATTTCCCTGCATTTCTCAGGTGTAGGGAAAAGGAGGTGGCAGGAAGCAGCATGGAGCTGTGGCCCCTCACTATCACCCGCAGAGCCCCAAGGGCTCCGCAGATCACAATTTGAAAACCCTTGGTATAGAATTAAATAAAATGGATCACTTGGTCAAATAGCTATACTAACTTTTGTATCTCTGATTTTCAACCTTACTAGTTGAGTTTTCTTCTGCTGTTCCCATAATTAATATATTTATAGAGTATGGTTATTCTGCCTCTTTTTTCTATGTTGTTTTCTATGGATCCACACTGCCAAATAATGCAGTTTCAGAATGCAGATTAACTGCGTTTATCTGGATTATATGGCAGTATAGTCTCATATAGTGCAGTTTCAGAATGCAGATTAACTGAGTTTATCTGGATTATATGGCAGTATAGTCTCATATAGTGCAGTTTCAGAATGCAGATTAACTGCATTGAACTGGATTACAAACCAGGTATGGGGAAACTCAGGCCCAGGGGCTGGATACGGCCCCTTGGGCTCTTTTCTCAGACCCTCCTCTCTCTCACCAACCTATCCTTCCTTCTCTCTTTCCTTCCTCCTTTCCTCCCTCCCTCCCTCCCTTCTCTCCCTCTTTCTCCCTCCCTCCATCCTTTACACTCTTTTGTCAGTCCTTCATTCCCTCTTTCCCTTCCCTTCCCTTCCCACCCTTTTGTCTTTCCTTCCTTCTCTCTTTCCTCCCTCCCTCCCCTCTCTTCCTCCATTCCCTTCCACCCCTCCTTCCTTCCATCCTTCTCTTCCTCCCTCCCTCCCTTCATTCCTTCCTTCTCTTTTTCCTTCCTCCTTTCCTCCTGGGGAATATTTAGGGAGAAGAAAAGGTAGAGAGTGACCATGAGAACCATGCTCCAGCCTGCCATGCAGCCCCCAAGTTTGAAATTTGCCCATGCCTGGTCTAAACTGCCATATAATCCATTTTAATACAGTTAATCTGCATTCTGAAACTGCAGTATATAACAGTGTAGATCCAGCCTTTGCTAAGCCAATCAGATTCTGTGCTCCTCATAAATTCTTCACATCTGCTGTCACTTTACTTCTTTTGTACCTTTTATAGCTGAAATGAACAGTCTTTCTAAACTTTAATGCCACAGTATTGACACCAAACATCTTATGGGCCTTTACCTCGGCTTTGAACCGAAGGATCATGGCAGCATTTTTCCCAGTAGGCAGGTCTTTCCTAATTCATCAAGACTAAAATTCACATTCTTTGTTAACACGTCACATTGTTGGCTCAGTCATCTTACAATCAATATTCCAAGTTCTCTTTCTACCTCATTCGTTCTAGCTGATGAGTTTCCAGTCAATAATACAAATGCTTATTGCTAGTCCCCAAGTATTTCTAACCCTCTAACCCTGTCAGTTAAATTAAAATTTAAAGCATTGTGCAGGGATAATGTATAAGTCCCTAGGTGCCCAATAACAGTCTCCTAAACAAAGGAGAGTGTTCGTTTTGCTTGACAGTGTTGCTTCTTTGTGTAGGTATAATGTCTGGGGAAGGCTTTAATGAGCTAATCATGCAGTTTGAACTTTCATGGATTCTTTCTGTATTTGATTGTAGCCATCGGGCTGGATCCACAGTTCAAAGAGTTTCAGGGACTGTATGATTTTTATCAGGTTTTTCTTTAGCCCTCTGGACCTTCCTAAAAAGTTAATCCAGAACAGGGTGGGGAGGCAGTATTGCTATGGGGAGGGGAAAGACTACAAGGAGAATGAGTGAAAATCAATTCTTCTCACCATTGTTCTAACAAGAGGCTCTACTGGAGATGCATGCATATCTTCATCTGCTTACATGTACAAGAAAATTGAGGCTGGGATGTGGGTGCACACATAAACCATGTGGCTAACAGCTTTTCAGACCTTCAGACACATATATAGGGCTATGTATTGTCATCAAGTGTGGTTAGAAAACCCCAATGATCAGAAATCCTGGTTTCTGTTATGAGAGCTCTGTAATCACAACCAACTTGCATTCAGCAGAGTGCTGCTATAGGAAACCTAAAACACGTGAAGGTCTAGGAGGCAGCAATGCATGCGATGGCATTTGCGGGCAAGGGTTCTGTGTGTACCTTCTTGCTCCCTTCCAGATTAGGTCTGCAAGTGAGCAGGCGAGCACTCCCATAGGGCTTACATTTGAGTTTCTGTTTGGAATAGAGATGCTGTGGAGCCAATTTAGAATATTACAGATTTTTTTTCAAAATGGTAGACCCATTTTCAAAAGAGTATATTTTGTGATGGCAACAATTACACAAAATATTACAAACTGTTTCATGAGTTATCAGGTTTTGCTAACCATTTTGAGCCAGACCCAAATCTATAAAAACAATTCCAGAAATGGAGAATACCTCATTAGACGTTATGTCAATGTCATCCATACACAGATGATGTTCAACTCTAGCTCTCCTTTTCACTGACGGCTAAGGATGCTGTTCAGCTTCTGAAATGATTCTTGGCAGCTGTGATGGTCTGGATGAGGGTGAACAAATTGAAATTAAATCCAGACAAGACAGAGGTACCCCTGGTCAGTCACAAGACTGAACAGGGTATAGGTTTACAATCTGTGCTGGATGGGGTTACACTCCCCCTGAAGACACAGGTTTGCAGCTTGAGAGTTCTCCTTGACTCATTGCTGAGCCTGGAACCCCGGGTTTCGGCAGTGGCTAGGAGGGCTTTTGCACAATTAAAATTTGTGCACCAGTTGCGCCCATACCTTGGGAAGTCAGACTTGGCCAGAGTAGTCTACTCTCTGGTTACATCCTGAATAGACTACTGCAACACACTCTACATGGGACTGCCTTTGAAGACTGTTCAGAAGCTTCAAGTGGTCCAACGAGCGGCAGCTAGGATGCTCACCAGAGTGGGGTACAGAGAGCACACGACCCCGCTGTTACGTCAGCTCCACTGGTTGCTAATATGCTAGCGAGCACAATTCAAAATGCTGGCTTTAACCTATAAAGCCCTAAACAGTTCTAGCCCAGTTTACCTGCCCAAACATATCTCCCTCTTTGAACCATCTTGAAGATTAAGATTGTCTGGGGAGGTCCTGCTCTCAATCCCACCTCCTTCACAGTTGTGATTTTTGGGGATGAGAGACAGGACCTTCCTAGTGGTGGCCTCTCGGCTATGGAACTCCCTTCCCAGTGAGATCAGATCAGCCCCTTCTCTCCTGACCTTCAGGAAAAAAACTTAAGACTTGGCTTTGGGACCAAGCTTTTGAGAAGTAATTGGAGCAGTGCAATGAATGACTACGAATCAATGTGATTGACAAATGGAATTGACCTGGATTATATTTTTGGATGGCGTGATTTTAATTGATGTTTTAATAATTCATGTCTTAATTGTTTGGTTTTAATTGTAATTGTTTATTTGATATATGTGTGGATGGCATCAAATTACTGCTTGTTGTAAGGCCACCTTGAGTTCCCTCCGGAGTGAGAAAGGCAGGACATAAATATGGTAAATAAAATAAATAATTCATGGGTTTATCACCTTGCAGATGACTGACACCAGGAGTTGTTTGTGTGCTGGGAGAGGCATCTAGCAGTAATCCTTTGAAACTCTATGTCCCTTCCTTTTTAGGTGTAAGAGATTCATTAGTGGGTGGTCCCTGGTTGCAGAGATACATTAATTTCAAATTGGGCCCATCTTTTTGAACCACCCTGAATTTTTTCAAGCATGGGATGTGCTGCCTAAGCATTTTATATATTGTTTTGGTTTTTAAGCCTTCAAAATTAATTTTATAGGGAACCTGGAACAAGCTTTGTTTTTGATTTGCATATTTTACTTTTATTTAAATTATGAATATACATACACATACACACAAAACACCCATAATGATATGTATTCTTACACTAATGTGGAGCCAAATCTTTTCCAGGTGGACAACGCGAAAGATTTACTCTTTTTGGGTGGCTTACAACTTCTGATAAATGGACTAAACAGTACCGAACCCTTGATGAAGGAATATGTATCCTTTGTACTTGGAGCAGCCATGTCAAGGTGAGTGTGTCGAAGGGGAGATGTCTGTGAGTTTGACAGGAAGGAAAGAATAACCATAAGAAGCAGACAGTATCTGGTTACCCAATTAGACAGAGTGCTTACAGATTTTGGCACCATGCTGTGTGGTCAACTGTGCCCGGTGCTCCTGTTATCAGAAGTGATCAACCCCAAAATGATTAAAGATGTGCAGTAGTTGCTAGGCAACTGCACAAGGTTGTGTCTTCCTTGGAACCAGCAAAGGAGCTGACCAGCTGCTAAAAGGCCTTTGAAGCAGCACAAGGACTGACCCCATCCACATGTTCAGGTAGAGGTTTTCAGGGTGCTGAATTTTACAACAAAGAATCAAGACTGTGGAGTGGATACTGTGATTATTAAGTGATAATTGGATTTTAAATATGGTCTTGCTGCAAGGAATCAAGACCTTTCAGAAACAAAGCCTCAAGAGAGAATGTTATTGTGAAGAGAGTAAAAAGTCAAGCCATATTCGAAGGTCTATCCACAACTCTCAGAATCAAGGATGGGAAGTGTGTGGACCACTAGAAGTTGAGTAACACAATTCTAATCAATCCTAACCGATAGTAAGTAATGATGGAAGTTGCAATATCATGTGGAGGGCAGCACATATTACTACTCAGAAGGCACAAAACATAGTCAGCAGCAATCATGCACCACTAGTCCCCGGTACTGATAGATTGCCATCCTCATCTTTCCTAATCTGCCTAGCTAATGATGTGAAACTATGAAAGCTGCAGCCCAGCCACATCTGGAATATCACATATTCCCTAGTCCTGATGTAAGCAAATAATTTTTCAATGTAAAAAGAGAAAGTACAGGCCAAAGAAAGAATGTTGCAAATTCCACTTGGGTTTTCACTTGTGGGCCTTATGCATATCTCCTATTATCAGCCTTTACTCCCAAATAGAGACAATGGAATATTCCATTGCTCGAGTAAAAATGTCAAATACTGCAAATCCTATTTCATGTTAAAAGCACGTTTTTGCACCTGGTCTAAGAGCCCCCTGGTAACACAGCAAGACAAACCGCTGAGCTGCTGAACTTGCTGACTCAAAGTTTGGCAGTTCAAATCCAGGGAGCAGGGTGAGCTCCAGCTGTTTGCCCCAGCTTCTACCAACCTAGCAGTTCAAAAACATGCAAATGTGAGTAGATCAATAGGAACTGCTCCCACGGGAAGGTTACGGCGCTCCATGCAGTCATGCTGGCCACTTGACCTTGGAGGTGTCTACGGACAATGCCGGCTCTTCGGCTTAGAAATGGAGATGAGCACCAACCCCAAGAGTCAGACATGACTGGACTTAATGTCAGCAGAAACCTTTACCTCTACTTCTTTTTATATATGTAATATTTTTATTATTTTATCATAGTTCAATACATTTGTTATACATTGCTTATTTTACAGCAGATACATATTATTCAATACAAGCTACCATACTTTAATTTTTGGCATCTACTGTTATTTTTCTGCTTATACATATTATCTATCCCTCACCACTGTGCTCCTCTTCCCCCCTCCCAAGCCACAGCTTTTACATATCATCTGTCCAAAATTTCAATTCCTCTTGTGGAGGTGCCTTTCCCTCTCCTTTACCTTTACTTCTAAGAACACTGCTTTGAGTGTTGGTTTTGGGACATATTATGCACACCGGGATTTTAAGGTACCATATAACTGTATTGTGGTATAATAAGGCTAGTGCAGCGCCTCCACTAATATCATTGGCAAGATCTACATTGTCATATAATGCAGCTTGAACTGCATTGAGCTACATTATATAGCTCTGCACTGACTTGCTCTTGTCTTTTAGCATTTGACATTAAGTTTTTCAGCTAGGTATCTCTAGTTCTTATATAATTCATTCTAAGTGCATGCATGACTTTCTGTGATACTGGCTTTTGGTAAATTGCATTCTATTCAGTATTATTTATGTAAGTCAAGGCTAGTCCATTAAAACTTTTCACATTTGTTTAGTTCAAAGGATTTTATTTCAGCATTTATTTATGTGCATGATGGGGTTTTTTGTGGTAAACAACCTTTCAGTCTAAAAACAAGATGCTTGTTGACTGTTGGCATGCTGTCTTATAATGAAATATTTCTCCAGACCTGAAGCTAAAGGGTCTTCTTGAAAAGATCACTGAACAGATTTTGTTCCTGGCCTTTGTTCCTGTCACCTTTCTACGTCTCAAGTGAGGGATGGAGGGAGTCTTAATTTTCTTTTGCCTGCTTCACACTTTTTCTGTGACATGGCTCTTCTCCACTGCATGAACTACATACCATCTTTGCCTGATGTAGAAGTGAATGAACGAAAATTAGCACAATGTTTTGGAGCCTTCTAATTGGCCTAATGATCAGCTGTGTGTATTTTGGAGTTTGGGTTGACCTATAGTTTCTTCAGTTCTGCTCGTGGCTGCCAGCGGTAACTGCTTGGATTGGTGATGATACCATAAACAGAGAGTGTAGGTGTTTTTTAAGAGAGAATAAGACCAAGCTTTGGTTTCATCCAGTGGGGGATATATTTGGACCTATATATCAAGGGATTTGCATCCATGAATCCCCATATATATAAAGATTTCCCCTGACATTAAGTCTAGTCATGTCCGATTCTGGGGGGTGGTGCTCATCTTTATTTCTAAGCTGAAGAGCCGGCGTTGTCCATAAACACTTCCAAGATTATTTGGCTGGGATGACTTCATGGAGTGCCATTACCTTCCTGCATCAGCGGTTCCTATTGATCTACTCACATTTGCATGTTTTCGAACTGCTAGGTTGGCAGAAGCTGGATCTAGCAGCGGGAACTCACCCCACTCCCTGGATTCGAACAACCAACCTTTCGATCACCAAGTTCAGGAGCTCAGTGGTTTAACCTGCTGTGCCACCAGGGGTCTCTATGTGTGTGTATGTGTGCATATGTGTGTGTGTTCTTTCTCTCTCTCTCTCTAGAGCTGCCTTCATGCTTTCTCCCTTTTTTCAGCTCTGAAAAGGCCTATCTCACAATGTCTCAATGGCTATGCTCTGGCAGCCTTTCCTTCTGACTATTTCTTGTCTTCCTCCATTTCCCCCATACACCTTCTCCTTCTCTCCTTTCTTTCTTTCTTTCTTTCTTTCTTTCTTTCTTTCTTTCTTTCTTTGTCTTTTTTCTTTCTTCTCTTCTTCCTTTGCTTTCCCACAAACGCCTTCTCCATTTTCTCTCTCCCTTCCTTCTTCCCTTCCTTCCTTCCTTCTCTCCTCCTTTCTTTTCCCCTTCTCTTTCTTTCTTTCCTCCTCTCATACTCTTTCCCCTTTCATTTCTCTTACTTCCTTTTTCTTTCTTCCTCTCTTCCTTCTTTCTTCCTGTCTCTTCTCTTTTTTCTCTTTTTTTCTCTTACTCCTCTCATACCTATCTCCCATTCCCCTTTCCTTCCTTCCCCACTTCCCCTCATACACATCATCTACCAACCACAAATGGGCTTCACCCCTTTTGTGCCTGTGGCTAGGTGAAATGGCCCTCTGTCATGTGATTTCCTAATCACGTGACAGAGGGCCACTTCACCTCGCCACAGCTAACCACTTTGATCCTTTTTAAGTTCAAATTCCTCAATTATTTAGAGAATGAAGGATATGTGTGCCAAGTTTGATCCAGATCCACCTAGTTACGTAGGAGCCTTTGTGGTACAAGTCAACCAACATACATGCATACATACATACAATGACTTTTATATAAATAGAAAGATTTTAATTTCAAAAGGCAAACTTTGATTTTGTTGTTTTATATAAGGGACCTAGTTTGTTATGCCGTTGTATTTGAATGGGACTTGAACATCCATGGATTTTGGTGTCCGCAGGGGGTCTGGATCTAAACCCCAGCGAACACTTCGTGACCGCATCTCCGTTTATGAACCCACGCGCTCACTTCATTCTTCTGGAGAGGCCCTGCTCGTGATTCCGCCTGCGTCACAGGCATGTTTGGTGGGGACGCAAGTCAGGGCCTTTTCTGTGGTGGCCCCCCGACTCTGGAACACCCTCCCCAAAAATCTTAGACAGGCCCCTACATTGGCAGTTTTTAGAAAGAACTTGAAGACCTGGTTTTTCCGATGTGCCTTTCCAGAATAGAAAACTCCAATAACAAGTCCCAGAAGCACTTTATTAGAATTAAGATTGCTGCACACTGCACACTGCACTTACCCTATAATCCTTACATATCACCTGTCACATCAGCACTTTTAATCCTGTACCCATTACTCTGGCCCGGCCCAGTTTTATAGTGTCTTGATGTATTGTTTATTGCTTGTTGTTTAATATTGCTTTAACTGTTTTTAATTTGCTTTAGGTTGTATTGTTATGTTGTGTTTTGAGGCCTTGGCCTTTGTAAGCCGCATCGAGTCCTTCGGGAGATGCTAGCGGGGTACAAATAAAGTTAATAATAATAATAATAATAACACCACTGTACATCATTTTAGATGGGGGCGCTCAGGGATCACTCCCTTCCCATCCCATTTGGCCTGAAACCCAGGGTCCCATAGTTCTAAGCTTAGGTCCTGGGGCTTTTCTCCAGCATATATTTTGGAAAGGAATGGCGATTGTCACATGTAGCTGTGCTGTTAAACTAACTTAGCTGCACCCAGTCATGGTATATTCATCCATTTTAGCATTCCTGTCCTATTGTGACCTTCTGTGACTGTCTGCACGTAGGTTTCCCCATAAAGGATGCCTTCTTATAGGTATTCACTTCAGATAAATCCCTTTGTTCCCTTTAGAAAGCATTTCTTCTTCTGGGCCTATTTAGTAGGGCTTTCCACAACGACGTGCTTTAATTTAGCCAGGATCAGAAGGTGATAGGACTGACCTCCCCGCAACAAACGCAGGGGCTGCTGCTTTTCTCGGCCATTATTCACAACTCCTGCCACATAAATAACAGCTGCTCGAAACAATCCTGCATTCAATACAGCCTCCTCTTCAGGAAGGCACCGAAGGAGAATAACCATGGCAACAGTTGCTGAGGACGGGCCTT